AATCATAAGAGAGCTGTCGTCTCTATCGTGTTACGTCTCTATTGTGTCACTTGCAGGCTGCACGAAATTATTTCAAATATCGCGGAAAGCGCGGAAAGATTAAAGAACCCCCGCAGATATCTGAAAAAATAAAAAGATAAGGAACAGGGTTGATTCAAGGGTACAACTGAGATGGAAGCTCCAGGTAATGGGGTCCTGCCATACCTAGATAAATTTTGAAACCTCTATCAATTTTTAACTTCTTCCTGAGTATAGAATCCAAATTGAAATAGTGAACGCGAGGGATGTTTTTGAATGTCACACGCCCTAAGTTATAACGGAGAGACTTCAGACAAGGATATGGATCGCACTCAGCAAACAAAACGACTACACCACTCCTGGTGCTATACTTGTATAGTTGGTCTCATCGAGACTGAAAGAGCACGATCGCATGTTCTCTGTTCAATATAGCACGATCGCATGTTCTCTGTTCAAAACATGCTGGAAGCGTTTGATAAAAGAAACATCTAAGATATTTCCATATATTTCGTCAATGTCATCTCTTAAAATTAGAATTGGAAAAAAAAACCTAGTGTACCTATGGCTTTCCTGTAAAGGCCTCGTAATCTGCATCAGCTTTTTTGGGCCTGTCATTCAGAATGGTTAAAAACGGATTATTACTTTGCACGTACATGACAGACGCGTTGTTTAAGAAGTTTCGAAAACAAGTTTTCAAGAGTACTCGTTCCATAGGTACTGATGATACATTATAAAATATTCATTGCTCGTACCACTGAGTTAACCAATTACTTAGCAGGGCGAAAAGATAACATAGCTTTGCATTGCTTTGATGGTTTACTGGGGGTATTGTTTCCATGATCGCATGGAAAACATTTATATGATTAGTTTTCTGTGGTTGATTGATGAGAGAGGCGACGTTCATTGCTGAAAGGGAAAAAAATTAAAAGAGGGATTTTTCTGGGGCCTACGAGTTGCTTATGTTGAACAATTTTCCCAATTTACTGTGGCCAGCTTCAGATGTATCCCTGAAGTTGTCAGTTTTTGATTTATGAAAAGTGGATGGCTCATGGTTCCTTTTGATCGTTATTGTGGTCATTTTGAGGTGCAAAATATGAAACACTACAAGTACTCGCGCATTTGCAGTTTGAAGTCATAATTTTGTAGGCATGGTATACCTCACAATGGGCTTCTACTTGACAGCCCATACAGACGCTAGTTAAGTGGCGTGACATAATGTCTGGAAGAATAAATGCCTCACCAGTACAATTACTGTAAGTAAGACGAACACGCACAGTCGCTAAGACTCTGTTGGGGTCGCGTGTAATTACTGGTGTGCGAGATAAGATTACGAAGAGAAGGCAAAGGCAGAAGCACTGTTTTGATCGGAAAACTCAGGAAATACCAAAAGTGAACACCCGTAGACACTGCCTTTAGCTGACAGAGTCTACTAATAAAACTCTATAATCTAGTGGTATTTAAAACATGTTCTGAAAAAGGAGAAATGTCCATTTTACATTTATCACCCAGAAAACGGACAAGAAAAATGTGCAAACAATTTTATAAAATTGTTGTTATGGTATCCCAAGCGTTAAAAATGTTTGTTTTACCGTACTAATCTTATGCCAAAGATTTGGTGCCGGAATGAATACAATTATGAATAACAGACAGTCTATTTAGGTGTTTAACTACTCTTGGTGGAGGTTGTTTTGACAGCATGTGCGTCCAAGGCCTCCTTAAACAGCCTTTATCCTTCGCATTTCTCTCTTGACAATATGTGCATCCAAGGCCTTCTTAAACAGCCTGTATCCTTCGGATTTCTCGCGTTCTTCCTGGCTGATTCCTTCTTTTACTTTACTTGGCTGTGGTTTCTAATGAGCGCAACGAAAAATAAAGACTACTACTTTTGCTAATAACGTCAATAAACAGAAGTTACCTTGTCTTTTGTTAAAATTTTCACCATTGATGACTGCACAGAAATGTTGTTGTGAGTCATGATCAGATGGATTGCGATGGCAAGGATTAGAATGATTAAAAGGCAAATCCAAATAATTTAAGCTCCTCGCGAGGCTCTTCTGAGAGCGAAGGAGTCCCCACCACACCCTGTTGTTAAGAATACTAGGCCGCTCTTGGGATATGACATCCATCTGCAATTCCTTGTTATCATAATAATTTGGATATATCAACAAAGTTGAAATGGTAAATTGGCCACCGTAATGATTACAAAAGCTGACGTTTCGAGCGTTAGCCCTTCGTCGGAGCGAATAGAGGAATTGTGGGTTGTGTGTGCTTTTAAAGGCAGAAAATGGAGCTACGTTATTGGTGGGTGCATGGCAACGAGAAAAACATGAATAAATTAGTGGAATGAAAAGCGTTCATTGATCCCTGTGGGATTTAGACTGCCGGTTTGAAAGATGAGCTTTTGTTCAAGATTTTTACGGCTTTCCGTGCCACCTAAGTGCAAGGAAAGACCGCAGATTGCCATATGTTGCTTAGAATGATT